TTCCGGGGCCGTTACATATGTTCCTTTTACAGATTGTTAGTGATTTTTATGCTAGAACTCGTTATAACTAATAAAAAATAAAATAATAAAAAAAATAAAGTTTAATTTAAATATGCTAAATAAATTAAAAATATTATATTATAATAATTTATTATTAAAAAAATTATAAAATATAAAATATTATTTATTTTTTTGTAATAATTATTATCAGCAACTGAATTTTTTAATATAAACGAGAATATAACTTATGAACCAAAATTTGTTAGACTAACTTATCTTTAATCATTATAACATCCTCATTAAAATTCAAGCCAATAGTATTTTTTTTTTAATCAACAAATAATTTTTGTCAAAAAGAATGTGTATTTTTGAAAGATTATTTTTACTTGAACCATTTCCTATTGACCCAATAAATTGAAGCTAAACAATTAATTGGTAATAATTAATTAATAAAAAAATTGTAATCTTATAAGACAAAAGTTTTTCATCATTACAAGCCAACTAGGCTAACAGAGAGAGAGAGAGAGAGAGTTCTGGAATGTTCCTGAAAAGTGTAGAAAAATCTAAAGAGACGAGATCAGGATTCGCAGGGAAGGGGATGGCGGCACAGAGGGCAAGTGTGATTAACTTGCAACCATTCAACGATGCAGTCTGGGTGAAAAAGATGAGAGCAAGGCATCTCATTGAGCTCAGATCCTCGAACGAAATCTTCGATGCATATGGTGCAGTGTTGTTTACTTTTACAATCATCATCTTCTTCATCATAGACGAATTTCCGCAAAGCTTCAATGGCGGAATTGGCAGCAGGTGTGGTTTTAGGTTCCGACAAGCTGAGATTCGCTCTAAATTCGTCTACGATTCTGGTAATTTCAGGTTCTTCGCCATACTTATGTACAAAGTTCATGAATTTTGTTATTTCGACGAGAAGGGAAACCTTCGAGGTCAACTCTGTTTGAATTTTCTGCACAAGGTTTCTCCCGACGCGAGGGGGAACGTCGAAATCATAGAGCAGGCTGATGATCTCTGTAACTTCATGGCTTCCGAAGGAGTCAACATTAATTTCAACAGAAGGGCTACCCACGAGTTGCCAATCATCAGGAGATAATTGGAACGTTTCATCTTCAACCTCGATGCATTCGCGATGCACATGGAAAATTTGAAAGCTGATGATTAATGGGGATTCTGAAGGAGGATGTAAAGAGTTTACTCGAAGGTGGTAATCGACTTCTAGCGACATGTTTGTAATTTTAAGCAAAATCCACAAGAGTGAAGAAAGATTGCAGTGAAACCAACCTCTGGGAGAGGATTACTACTTATACAGAGCTCCATATCTGTAACTCCTGCTCCAATCGAGAAACCAACCCGCTCCTTTTTACTTTCCTCTCTGGAAGTTATTTACTAAATCTTAACATACATATATATTACTTTCCTTTTTACAAAATCTTAACAACCCACGAATCCTCCTTCGTGGAAATCGAAATGGGAACCAGGGTTTATTCCTGGAAGGAATCGGAATACCAGGGCTAATTCCTGACAAGTTCATGAATTGATTTTAATTAACTGTATTCTGGCTTTGAATCCCGAATTAGGAAAATAGAATTTCGACCCTTGGATTATATAGTACTACACATGGGTTTTCTGGAGCTGGCCATCTGCTCCGTCGTGATGTAAGTAGGATTGTTGAAACTAAATGATTAAAAGACAGAAGAAGAAGAAGAAATACTCGTTACAAGATCCAAACAATTAATCACCTGCAATTTGCAATTTTTTAAGGAAAGATGAATAAATTAGTGGATTAATCATGGATTTTATCCACCATTAAATGATTAATCAAACAGTAATTTAATGATTATAATTTAATTGGAAAGAGCAAGAGAAATTGTAACCACCCGAGCCGACATAGGGATTCTCACTATACGCGGATGCACAAATATTTCTTTTACAATTCAGCAACCGTCCACATATTCCGTTTGCTAATGAGTGTCACAATTATAGATCGGTTCAATATTCTGTTCAGTATTAGCGTAATTAAATTAATTTTCAACATCGTCCGGTATGAGAATTTCCAGACTCGTAAGACTAATGACACATCTATAATAAGGTTCACCCTATATACTAAGTCCGTACACTCTCTCCCATGATACCCAGTAAATTTTTTCTTCTTAAAAAATTATTTTTATTTCATATCTCAACTTCAGAAACTCAAACATTTTTAAGATTTTATTTTTGTCTACTCAAACATTAGATTTATATTTTAGAAGGAAAATTCATATTCAACAATAATATTAATTTTTATTCCCACTCAGACTCCCAACAACCAATCTCATCACTCTCATACACCTATTTACACAACTTAGACGCACATTCATTCCATTCATAGCAAGTATGCATAACAACTAACTTGTTTGTATATCAAACACG